CGGCGGCGGCGGCGGCGGCTGCAGCGACGGCTGCGACGGCGGCGGCGGCGGAGACGACGGCTGCAACGGCGGCGGCGGTGGAGACGACGGCTGCAGCAGCTGCGGCGACGGCGGCTGCGGAGGCGGTGGAGGAGAAGACACCGGGGGAGGGACAGACGGCGAGGACTGCGCCGGAGGACTACCAGAGTCACAAGACTCGTCGACCGGGACGACCGACGGGAGGGGGGTGACGTGAGACACACCAGAGGGGGCCGGACGGGGGGGCGGGGGGGGGGAGGGGCAGGGACCACCAGGGAGGGAGGAACCAGGAAAAGGGGGGGAGTAACCGGGGGACCACGGTGGGGAAAGCGGCGGTAGAAGGAGACGGACTCGTCAAAGGTGACGTCGCGAGAGTGAAAGAAGCGGTGAGACGGCGGGTGGTAGAAGTGCCAGTCGGACGCGTCAAGGGGGAAACCGAGGAAGACGCAGGGGAGGGTGCGGGCAGTGAGCTTGTCCGTGCCAGAGGCACGAACGTGAGCAAGGCAGCCCCAGACGTGGAACGCAGACGCGTCACCAGGGGACCCGCTCCACAGAAGGGTCGGCGAAACCTGCGGCCGCTGGGGGTGCGGCCACAGGTTAAGCTGGTGAGCGGCGTAGCGCACGGCAAACGGCCACAGAAAATGGGGTGCACCGGCGTGGATCATGGAGGTGCGAGCCACCTCCATGACCAAACCGATGCGTCGCTCAGCGACCCCATTCTGCTGCGGGGAGTCCGGCAGGGTAAACGTCTGGGTGATGCCCTCCGCACGACAGAAGCGACCAAGGACACCTGAGGCAAACTCGCCACCCCGGTCGGAGTGGAGGCGCAAGGCAGGGAGACCGCGGTGGACACGAGCAGAGACAAGCCAGGGGATGAGAACGTCAGGCACGTCGGCCTTCCGCTCCAGGGGAAAGACGGTGGTGTAACGTGTGAAGTCGTCGACAAGCACTAGGAAGAAGCGCTCGCGACGCGGCCCATGGACCGGGGCTGGGCCCCAGACATCCATGTGCAGAGTCTGCAGCGGTGCGGTGGTAGGGGGAAACGAGGAGGAGTGAGGAGCACGGCGGAGCCGGCCCTCGACACAAGGCGTGCACGGGGGGGCGGGGGAGGAGGGAAACTCGGGGAACGAACCGGGGAGACCAAGGACGAGACCGTGCTGGGACATGTGACGCAGACGCGGGAGTGCAGGGTGACCAAGGCGGTGGTGCCAAAGGAGAGTCGGGTGAGTGAGGGACCGACAGGAGCACGCAGCAGTAACCTGGGTGGACGCAGCGACCTGGGGGGGAGACCCAGCCGGGGAAGTCGCGGTGTCAAGTGTGAACAGGCCGGACACCGGGTCCCGGGGGAAAGTGGTAAGGGGGGCACCAGTGGCGGCCTCGGTACAGACAGCATACCGCTCGTGACCAGGGAACGTAGTGGTGACGCCAAGGTCCTGGAGGCAGCCGACACCAACTAGGTTCCTGGAGAACGAGGGGATATGCAGACCGGTGAGCGAACCTGAAGGAACCGCCGGACAGGGAAGGGAGGCGGAACTGCGGGCAACGACTGGACCACCGGAGGGGTCAGCAAGAGTAACTGTAGCAGGAACAGGCAGCGGCATCAGCGTCGTGGAGTCGCGAAAGAAACACCGGGAGGCGCCAGAGTCCAAGGTGAAGGAAAGCGCAGCAGTCGGGCGAGGCGGCAGAGAAGCGGTGGAAGCACCGAGGCTAAACAAAGCAGGTGATCCTACGCCTGACGCAGCAGGGGAGTCTACTCTAGGCACAGCTACACTAGGCAACACGGGGTAATAAGAGGGAAGCACACTAGAGTCATCAGCATACATCACATGCAAGGCTGCTACAATGGCATCCATGTCCAAGTCAAAAATCTGAATGCTACGCCTAAGCAAGCTGTGCCAGTCCGGGAGGTCGGGCGCCGGGCCAAAGCGCTGACGGAACAGGTGGTCCAGGCGACGAAAACAGCGAGGAGTGGAATGACCGATCTTACCGCAAACGAAGCCGCGGCGAGGACCGGTCTGGATCTGGTACTGACAGCGCCCGCCTCCAGAACCACCACCCGGCGCACCACCACGCGCACGACCACCACCAGCTCCAGGCCACCCAGGCGGGAGGGCACTCGCCTGCCTCGTCTGCGGCGGCTGCTGCGGAGGCTGCGGCTGCGGCGGCTGCTGCTGCTGCTGCTGCGACTGTGGAGGCAGCGGGGCAGCTGGACTGAGCAGGGTCCCCACGTCCGCTCCAGCACCAGACGACCCGACTCCACCACCACCCCCACCCGCACCCCCGCCGCCTCCGCCGCTCCCAACCTTGGGGCGGCGGCCCTTCCCCGAGCGGGACTGCACTGCAGCAGCAGTCTCAGCCACAGCGACAGAGCCGTCGGAGAAGGTACACTGAGCGGGGGCACAACCCTGAAAGATAGGGACCGGTACTGTACCGCTCGCCTGGGCGATGGAGCGGTGACGAGTCTCGATAACAGTCAGGGTGTCAACAAAGTCGGTGAGGGTGAGCTCAGCGGGGTGGATGCTAAGGAACTGGTCGCGGGCGGCGGCAAGGCGGTCAGGGAGGCGAGTGGCAAGGAGGTAGAGGGTAGAGGTCATGGGAGGCTGGTGGACTCTAAGCTGTGCATCAGTGCAGGCAGCGCGCCAGGTCTCATCTATCAAGCGCAGGTGGGCAGCTAGGTCAGAAACAGTGGGGAAAGACGCAAGGTCAGGAAAGAGCAGCGGGAGGATCAGTCGACCCACGGAGGCAGCAGGAGGGGCAGAATAGCGCTTGATGACAGCATCCAGGTAGGCCTGAGCGGTAGTAATGGTCCTAAAGCGAGGGCGCTCAGGGGGGGGAAGGGCATTGCTAATGGCTAGCTGAGCAAGGGCATCGCGGGAAAGCCAGACAGAGCGGGCAAGGGCAGCGGCGGCAGTGGACTCGCGCGCAGCGGGCGTGGGATCAGCGGGCAGCACAGCAGGGGGGTCAGGGCAGGGGAGCGTACCGTCTAGGTGGTCAGAAAGCGGGTGGCCGTCCTGTCGCTGACCAGTGAGGTGGCGGCGAAGGTCGGCCAGCCACGCCTCGAACTCCAGAGGCTGACCCTCAGCATCGAAACGAAGCTCCGCAGCCATCAGGGGCAGTGCAGGACGGTGGAGAGCGGTGCAGTGCGGTGCAGGGCGGTGCAGTGCGGTGCAGTGCGATGCAGTGCGGTGCAGTGCGGTCCAGTGCGGTGCAGTGCAGTGCAGTGCGGTCCAGGGAGGTGCAATGCGGTGCAAGGCGGTGCAGGGAAGTGCAGGAGTGTGCAAAGCGGTGCAGGGAACGGGGGACAGTACCAGGAAGTATGTAGGGCCGGGGCAGGCGCGACGAGTACGGGCAGGCGCGACGGGGCCGGGCAGGCGCAACGAGGGGCCAGGCAGACGCGACGGGGCCGGGCGGCTGCGACGGGGCTGGGCGGCAGCGACAAGGCCGGGCGAGGGCGACGGGGCCGGACGGGCGTGACGGGGCCGGGCGGCTGCGACAGGGGCCGGGCGGCTGCGACAGGGGCCGGGCGGCTGCGACGGGGCCGGGCGGGCACGACGGGGCCGGGCGGCTGCGACGGGGCCGAGCTGGGGCGACGGGGCCGAGCAGGTGTGACGGGGCCCAGGAGGGGCTCGACGGGGCCCAGGAGGAGCGCGACGGGGGGCCCAGGAGGGGCGCTACAGAGCCCGGGAGGGGCGTGACGGGGCCCAGGAGGGGCGCTACAGAGCCCAGGAGGGGCGCGACGGGGCCCAGGAGGGGCGCTACGGGGCCCAGGGAGGAGCGCGACAGGGGTCCAGGAGGGGCGCGAGGGGGGGGCCTGGGAGGGGCGCGACGGGGCTGGGGAGGGGCGCGACGGGGCCTGGAGGGGCGCGACCAAGCCCAGGAGGGGCGCGACAAAGCCCAGGAGGGGCGCTACGAAGCCCTGGAAGGGGCGCGACGGGGCCTGGAGGGGCGCTACGAAGCCCTGGAAGGGGCGCGACGGGGCCTGGGAGGAGCGCAATGGGGCCCAGGAGGGGCGCTACGGGGCCTGGGAGGAGCGCAATGGGGCCCAGGAGGGGCGCTACGGGGCCTGGGAGGAGCCCGACGGGGCCCTGGAGGGGCGCTACGGGGCCCAGAAAGGGGCGCGACGGGGCCCAGGAAGGGGCGCGACGGTTCTAGGGAGGGTCGCGACGGGGCTAGGAGCACGACGGGGCCCAGCTAGGGGGCGAGCGGAAGCGTTAGGGGGGGGGATCCTACCTACGCGTGATACCATCTCAAACAGTGAATTGAATGATTAGGGAGAGAGAGTACACACACACATATACCTAAATGTTGTACCCTCTAGGAGGTGACCCTATACAGTCTATACAAACATGATAAATACACATGTTTGACAGTGATTGCTGTCAGACGAAATTATACGCGCTATCTGACATTTCAGACGAAAAAGTACACCAAGTCTGAACTTTCAGACGAAATCTTATGACTGAGATGGACAATCAGATGAAATAATTCACCCCGTAAAAAAATCAGATGAAAGCAAAAAAACAGGTCTGATTTTCAGACCATCAGACGGATTTCGTCTGATATTTGAGACCCTGGTGCCAACACAACTGATATCTTTACGAAGGCGCTTGCGCCTAAAGATCATCATCGGCACTGTGTACAGCTACGGTAGGTCTTGTTCTTGTAGCCTCTCACTTGCTAGGGCCTTGAGTTTGCACAGTCCTTTATATATATATTTTACCCTGACTGGCCTTGTGGCCTTTCCCAGTGGCTGGACTAGTAGTGCTACCCTGGTCTTGCTCTTGCCTTGTTTGTACTCCTTGTGACTGGTCTTTAGACCCTTGTCTTAGAGGCTGGACTAGTAGTGCCGCCCTGAGCTGCTTCTTCCCTTGTTTGGCACTGCCCCTATATTGTCTAGGGGGTGTGTCAAACATAACTTATGCAGTTACTGTAGACAATATATGTCTGTCTGTGCACTTACTAGTCTATATTGCCTTGTATCTCCCCATTCTAGTCAATTATTCATTCTGATACTAGATTCTAGGCTCATCTTATGGAGCGCTTTCCACTATTTGCCTACACAAAACTTGATGGGGCTCTGGATGCTATGCTGTGCCTCTGCAACATGAAGAATTGGTTGCTCGACTGTTTACCGGAACCATACTACTATAGAAGAAGCGCTTGCTAAATCCCTGGAGCGCATCCTGTTTTTTACATCGTCACTGCTTCCGACCTGTTTTGCCTGCACTAAACCCTGAAGCAGAGGAGGATTTAGAAGGGCCGCCTGGAGAGACAGGTGCGCTGTCTGACGAGCGAACCGCCACCCCAACGACATGGCGGTCGATGGCCGGCAGCACGTAGTCATAGTTCACTTGCTCGTACAGGGGCAACACCGCCTGGTGTGGAGAGGGCAGGAGCGGAAGGAGCGATGTGTGTGGTGGGCAGGTTGCGAAGGGGAAAGGGAGTGAGAAACAACAGAGGGTACAGCTGTGGCATGTACCAGGCAGGCAGGCTAGTATGCTCATGTCTGGCAGGCAGGCTTGCCTGGCGAGCAAGCAGAAGCGGAGCAAGCAGAAACGTAGCAGGTGCATACAAGTGCGTGTAGACATGCATGTGCAGATAGATCCGTCCAGACATGTGTGTATGTGGGTAAATGCACGCAGACAAGAGCATGCAGACAATGCAGACAATGCAGACAAGTGCAAGCAGGCATGTGTATGCAGCAAAGAGCATGCAGAGAGGAGCGCATGGGGCTCACATCAGGGAGGAAGGAGAAGGAAGGGCGGGATGTGTCCTTCACTTCCGGACTGCCGCTCTCACATGCCTCCACAAATATCAGCGGCTGCCATGGGAGAAGTGCGCCAAGAGCGGGCAAAAGCCCAGGGGGATGGAGGAAATGGCGCCAAGAGTAGGCATGGATGGAGAAGAGAGGCATGGATGGGTCGATGCAGGATGGTTCAGCTGTAAAGTAGGATATGAGGTGTTGGAGCCATGCCATGCGGTGGATACTGCAATACGGCGCATTCGATAGTGCAGGGGCATGGGGCAACAGCAGTGCAGGACGAGCAACGACCGTGCATGTGCTCGGGCATGAGGAGTGACAGAGGGATGAGGTGGAAGGAAGGGGTGATGAGAGGCGCACTCGGCTTGGCTTGAGGATGCGAGCAATGCCTGCAGCAGCTGTGGCGGCTTCGGAGGGTGTGAGAGGCTTGAAACCATCCACCGTGATCTGCCCACACAGGCAAACAGGCAGACAGGCAGGCAGGCAGGCAGGCAGGCAGGCAGGCAGGCAGGCAGGCAGGCAGGCAGGCAGGCAGGTAGGCAGGCAGGCAGGCAGGCAGGCAGACGGACGGACAGACAGACAGACGGACAGACAGACAGACAGACAGACAGACAGACAGACAGACAGACACAGGGTGATGCAGTGCGAGGAGTAGGGAACATGCAGCAACAACAAGGAAACACAGCAAGACATGCACACACTAACGCACCCTCACTGGAACATGCATGCCACGAGGGAACTGAGGAGCCACGCAATGCAAGGAGGGTTGCAGCGGTTACCACGGCGTCGACAGAAGCCGATTCGATGCGGTTGAGTGCGGTGAGGCCGTCTGGCAGCACGTCAATCAGCACCCCTGACGATATGGCTGCGACACAGGCAAGAAGAATGGCGATGGCAGGCAGTAGGGTGCGGTAGACGGCATTAGGTTAGGGGACAGTAGGGGGCAGTAAGGGGCAGTAGAAAAGGCAATGGGAAGCAGCGAGGAGAAGCGAGGCAGTTGTATGGCGTGGCGAGAGCTGGGAGGGCAGGCAAAAGGTGAAGGGGGACGGGTGAGTGGCAGTAGAATTAATGTGGTGAACGTGGTGTGTGTGAGAGTGGACTACATGGGTGGGCTGAACCGAAGGCACTGCACGCACACTCATCATGCACCGTTCGTCACATGCACCCTGACACTGCTACACTTGCCCTACCTTGAACAGCCCTCACCCCTCCCTGCTCACCCCCTGACACATGCCACCATTCCCCACTCCCTCCCCCCCTCTCCCTCTACCCATATTCCCTTCCCCACTTCCATCCCCGCTCCCCGCTTCCCCATTTGCCCTCCCCCTCCCCCTCCCCTCACCCTGCTGCTTCAGCAGAGACGGCTGCACGTCTGGCCGCATGGCCAGCAGCTTGCCCACGTCATCGGGCAGGTAGTAGAGATTTCTGCCGCTGCCCGCGCGGAAGTCCAGCACTACCGCGCCGCCACGTGGCACGTGCCGGCCCACCACACGCGCCACCAGGAACTGCAAATGGGGAGTGCGGGGTGGAGGGGGGGGGAGGAGGGTGCAGCGGAAAGGGTTGACTTCAACTCATGGTGGTGTGGCTGGCTTGGAACGGCGCGGGAGGAGGTAAGAGTGCTGCTTTGCAGCACTGTAAAAGGGCTCCGAACCTGCCGCCTAGCATTGGACCCGTACCTCCTCCCGCAACGCCTATCAGTTTCCTTTACGTCCCTATCCCACCCCTCCATTACACGAGTAACCGTATCAAATCACACTGAACCGCACTTGTAGTTGGAAGTACCCGTACGCCTTCACTCCCGCGAACACCGCCCCCGCGCCAGCCACCGCCGCCGCAGCACCTACGAGCGCAGATATGTCCCCTCCACCGCCCGCTTCCGCCGCCCCCGCCGCATCCTCCGCGATATCCGCGAGCGCGGGCAGGGCGGGGAGCAGCGCGCCTGAGATAGCGACTAAGGGGGCGCGCAGAGCACGGGGGAGGGGGAACGGGGAGGGGGAAGGGGTAGATGCATGGGGCTGGCACTGGCGCAAGTGGGAGGTGGCGGATGCGTTGGCGGGGACCGCGGGCGCCGCCGACGGGGAGTTGACGTGCAATGTTGCGACAGTGGCGGAACGATGGCGGAGCACGGCGGGCGAAGCGGGCGCGGCAATGCGGGCAGGAGAACGCGCGAGGGGCAGCGAAGCCATGGAGGGCGGCGGTATTGCAGCACGGGGCGCGCGGCGGCAAGTGAGGGGGCGGAAACGGTGCAGGGCGAAGGAGTCAACCAAGATGGAAGTGAGGTGATAAATGGCGGGGGCGGGTATGAATGGGCGATTGGAGGGAGGGGGGAGGATTTGGGAGGGGATTGGATTGGATAAGTGGAAAGGGGAGATCAGGGAATGGATTTGGGAATACCTCGCCAAGAATTGGTACAGGTTAGGATTCTAGAAGAACACGCAAACAGCATGTACACTACTATCTAAAACCAGAGCAGCCTACACTGATTGAAATACCAGTGAACGTCACTATAATATTAATACTTCATAAAACCGAAGTCAAGGCCCACATTGTAGGGAGAACCTTTTGTGATGGCCACACAGTTGGTAGGTAGAAAAGGGAGGATTAGCTTGGTAAAAGCAGAGAAGTTAGGTCAAGAAATATCTTAGCAACTAACTTTGTGAAGGCCATCCCGTTCCAAGCAAATGGAACAGAACCAAATCAAATCCCGCAACTAGCCCACAATCCACAGCCCAAGTAGAGCCATAGCCCATGGCACACCGCACTAAACCAAACGTGCAAACGTGGAGCATTAGGCGCCTCGTTGCGAAACAGCCCAACAGCCAAACTGCCAAACAGCCGAAGGGCCATATCGTCACTACCGGTGCCAGAACAGCCAGAGTTAGCTACAGATGCAGAACAGTGCAGCGCTGCATTTCGCCAGCACCACTGCTGCTGCCGCTGCTGCAGAGAGGGAGAGGAAATATCACTGCCGGTGGATGCCAGTTCAAACAAGGACTGATGCCAATGCTGCTACTTGCCTGCCCTAAAAGCCCCTGGAGTTATGGGTGTATGGGTGTATGGTGCGCACATTGCAAGGTGAAAAGCCAAGCAAAAATGCAGAGATGATGATGGCAGAGGCGTTGATGTGGCAAAGGTGATGATGTGGCAGAGGAGATAATGTGGCAAACGCGGGAGCGGGGCAGTGGCAGCATGGCATGGTGGCATGCTTTGTTGAATGGTGGCGTGGAGCATGCTGAACCATGATGACGAATGTTGGGGCAATGTGTTGAGAAATAGGCCAAGGAGAAGGGATAGGAGGGATGAGCTCAATGAGTGTGAGCAGCACAGCAATCAACATGAACCGAGAGGCAGTGCAAGCAGGGAGGGGTGCAGGAAGCCGACAGCAAGGGATGGCAGGGATGCAGCATGATTGGGACAGCGCAAGGAGAGAAGTGAGGAGGTGAGAGTTGTGGGGAGGTGAGACTTGGAGGAGGTGAGAGTTGGAGGAGGTGAGAGTTGGAGGAGGTGAGAGTTGGAGGAGGTGAGAGTTGGAGGAGGTGAGAGAGCAGGGGAGCAGAGAGTCAAAACAGGCGCACAAAGTGCAGTCTATGTATGCTACCTGTCACCTTCACTTCTCTTCCTTCGCCTCCACACCCTCCTCTCGCCACTCCTCGCTTCCCTCCATCCCCCCATCCCCCTCCATGTCAACATCCCCCCCCTCCTTCCCCGCCCCTCCCTCCCTCTCCACCGCCTCCCCAACCTTCCCCCCTTCTCCCCCAGCCCCTCCCGGCGCCCCTCCTAGCGCCGCTGCCCCCCCAGGCCCGGCCACTAGGTCCGCTATGGCACAGAGGAGCTTGCGCCGTGCGCCCAGCGCCACGCCCATGTCTCTCAGATCCTCTGTGGTGAGCACGGTGGCTGCCTCCACATCCACCTCGTTTTCCTCAAACGCCTTGGCGTACCGACCCAGGCCTAGCGACTCCAGCCACCCGTTCACGCCCCCCACTGCCTCGATCCGCTCCCTGCCTTTCGTCATCCTCTCCAGGTACCCCGGCCTTGACTCCTCCCCCGCGCTGCCCCGCCGTGCCCCCTCCTTTCCCCCCTCCTCACGCTCCCCGCCTGCTTTGACCTGTGTGGCCTTGGCGGTGGTCCGATAGTCGTCATCTCTCTTCCCATCGCGCTTGCCATTGCTGCTGGCTGCTCTCGCTGCTGCCTTGGCAGCCTCCTCCCTCTGCCTTCCTGCCGCCCTCTCACCCGCCTTCCCTGCTGCCCCTCTTTCCCTACCCCCGTGGGATGCACCAGCACCACCAGCACCAGCACCAGCACCAGCACCAGCACCAGCACCAGCACCAGCACCAGCACCGCCAGCGCCAGCACCGCCAGCGCCAGCAGCAGCAAGGTGGTCCGTTCTCGGGCGTTTAAGGGCTGGTACAGGGGTCCTCTTCCCTTGCACTGCCCCACCCCTCTCCACCCCCGCCTTCCCTCTCCTCCCTCCATTACCCACGGCTTCACTCCCTTCCTTCCTCTCTCCGTTCGCCTCGTCGTCCTCCGAGCCATACCCCTCCTCCTCCTTCTCCTCCTCCTCCTTCTCCTCCTCCTCCTTCTCGTCGTCATCCTCCTCCTCGTCCCGTGTCATTCTCTTTCCCCCCAGGGCAGCACTCCTAGTGGCAACCGTGTGTCTGCTCCTGCTCCACCCCATTGCTCTCACCTCCTCTGCGCTTGTGTCCGAGCCACCCCTCTTCGCCCCAGAACCTACCACCCCACCATCCTTGCTCTTCCCTGCACTCCCACCCTTCATCACCCCTCCTCCCGCTCCCCCCGGAGCTGCTCCCTTTCCTGCAACCGACCCTCCCTTCCCCTCCGCGTCCCTCCCACCTCCCTTCACCTCTGCACCTTTCCCCCGCACCCCAGTCACAACTGCCCCTGTTGCCCCCCTCCCCCAAGTAGCACCTGCCCCTGCAGCTCTGCTCCTCCCCTTGCTGTCCCTCCCCCCCGCACTTCCGCCACCAGTCTTAGCATCACCTGCTACAGCCTTCCCCCCCTTGCCCACCCCAATAGCCGCTACAGCTGCTACAGCCGCCTTTCCCCTTCCGCCCGCCTCCCTCCCCGCAGCAGCTTTGCTGTCTTGCGGAATTGGGCGGATCTTAGGGGTGGGGGACTTGCGCGCAGGAGAACCCCTCTTCTCCTCCGCTTTCCTCCCCACACCCCCCTGCTTTCCCCCCTTCTGCGCCCCCTGCCCCTTCCCCTGTGCCTGCTTTCCGCCATCCCTTGCCTTCACCTCCTTACCCCCCCCCCCCTCGCCCCATGCCTCTGCGGAGTCTTCTTCTCCCCCCCCTCCCCCTCTCTCCTACTCTTCCCTGCATCCGGCGCCACATGAATCTGCCCACTCCCAGACTTGGCGCGCTTCCCTGCAGGGGATGCACCACTCTCTTTCCCCCCTGCAGCTGCTGCTGCTGCTGCTGCTGCCACAGCTGCTGCGGCAGCAGAGGACGCGAGATGCCCACTAGCAGAGCCCAGCTCCCCAAGGCGCACGTTTGGCTTGCGCTGGCGCTTCCCCAGAATCACCCCCTCCGTCTCACGCTCCCCCACTCCCCCCACACTGCCCCGCCTTCCGCCCATGGCCCTGCCCCCGTCTCTCGCGCCCTTGCCTGGAGTTGCAATCACTGACGATCTGCCTGCCCGCGTTGGCTTCTTCCCTTCCTCCTCCGATTCCTCCTCTTTTCCCTCCCCCCTCTCCTCCTCCTCTTCCTCCTCCTCCTCCTCCTCCTCCTCCTCCTCCTCTTCTTCCTCCCTCTCCTCCTCATGTTCCTCCTCCTCCTCCTCCTCCTCGTCCTCCTCCTCCTCCTCCTCGTCCTCCTCCTCCTCTTCCTCCTCCGATTCAGACTCCAAATGTCCCTTCTCCTCTTCCTGCGCGTCCTTCTCCTTCACCCCCCCTCCCTTCTGCTCCACCTTTCCTCCTTCCGCCTCTGCCTCCACCTTTCGCTGTGTAGCACTCTCGACTTCACCCTTGTCATCCTTCCTCTCTTCGCCCTTCGCCCTCCTCTCATCCTCCGCTACTCCCTTTCGCCCATCAACCTCCATAGCACCCCCCTTCTCCTCCTCTTCCCCCTCCCCGTCCCGTCCTTTCGCCTCCTCCTGCTTCCCTTCCTTCTCTCCTACTCCCGCTTTCCCAGTGTCTTTCTCCCTATCCCCTTCTTTCTCCCTATCCCCTTCTTTCTCCCTATCCCCTTCTTTCTCCCTATCCCCTTCTTTCTCCCTATCCCCTTCTTTCTCCCTATCCCCTTCTTTCTCCCTATCCCCTTCTTTCTCCCTATCCCCTTCTTTCTCCCTATCCCCTTCTTTCTCCCTATCCCTTCTTTCTCCCTATCCCCTTCTTTCTCCCTATCCCCTTCTTTCTCCCTATCCCCTTCTTTCTCCCTATCCCCTTCTTTCTTCCCCGCCTCTCCTGTCCCCTTCACCACCCCTCCACTCTCCTTTTCTCCTTCTTTGGCCGTCCCCCCATCGCCCTTGCCAGAAACAGGCATCTTCTGCTCCACCTTTCCACCGACCGCCACTTGCTCTTCCCCCTTCTTCCCTTCCTCTTTCTTAAAGGCAGCTTTCTCTTCATCCTTCTTCTCTTCTCCCTTCTTCTCTTCTCCCTTCTTCTCTTCTCCCTTCTTCTCTTCTCCCTTCTTCTCTTCTCCCTTCTTCTCCCCTCCCTTCGTCTCCCCTCCCTTCGTCTCCCCTCCCTTCGTCTCCCCTTCCTTTGTCTCTTCCCCCTTTTTCAACTCCCCTTTCTCCTCTTCCCCCTTTATCTCCCCATCTTTCTCTGGCTTTGCTTTAACCGACTCTACCCTTATAGCCACTCCTTTCAAGTCTGACCTTTTCACTTCAGTTGGCTTGTCTTCCCCCTTCCCTTCGACCCTCCTTTCTTCCTTCTTTCCTCCCCTCTCTTCTCCCTTCTCTTCCCCCTCCCCTTCCGGCCTCCTCTCTCCCTTCTCTTCGCCCTTCCCTTCTCCCCAAATTCCCCCCTTCTCCTCCCCCTTCTTTCCCCCTTTTTCTTCCCCTTTCCTTTCTCCCTCGTCTTTTCTACTTTCCACTTTCTCTCCGCCCTCTTCCTTTCTCTCATCCGCCTTGCCCCCTGTAACAATTTCCTGGCTCTGCTCGTCCTTCTTCACCGCATCTCCCGTAACAATGAACGACTTGCCCGCTCCCACTCCCTCTCCCTTACCTGCAGCAGTCACTTTCTGCTTATCCGCACTCTCTTTCCCTCCCCCCTTCTCTTCCTTGCTGCCTTTCCCAACCACATCATCCTTCTTATCTTCCCCCCCACCGGTCTCCGCACTAGCCCCAGCGCTGCCCCCGCCACCACTCTTCTTCTCTCCCCCTCCTTTCCTCCCCGCTACTGCTCCCGCTCCCCCACCTCCGCCACCACCTGCTGCGCCTGCGCCTGCGCCTGCAGTTGCGCCCGAGGCGGCTGAAGGAGGGCTGACTTTCCCTGCGGCTGGTTCGGCTGCTTTCCCCGCTGCCACAGCAGCTGGTGCGCTAACTTTCGCTCCGCCATCTGCCTTTCCCCCAGCGCCACTCCCCCCTTCCGCTTTCCCGGGCGTGGGCGCAGGGCTTGCAGCAGCAGCGGGTTTTGCCCCGCTGGAAGGCGCAGCACCAGCTTTCGCCGCAGGTGGTGACGTGGCTCTTGCTTTTGCCGCAGGTGGCGTGGCTCTTACTTTCGCCGCAGGTGGTGACGTGGCCCTTGCTTTCGCCGCAGGGGGTGACGTGGCTCTACCCTTCGTCGCAGCAGCCGTCGCAGGGGGTGTCTTGGTCGCAGGAGCCGTCGCAACGGGCGACGCTTTTGCCACCAATGGAGGAGCTGTGGGAGCCTTAGTCGTCGCGGTTACTGTCGCAGCAGGCTTCGTCGCAGAGGCGTTGGTCGCAGCGGGCTTCATTGCTGGCGACGTCGCAGAGCCTGCCTTCGCGGCTGGAGCTGTCGCAACGACCGGTTTCGCAGCTCCCGCCGCAGGCGCCGCTGGCTTAGACGACGGAGCAGCCGCCGTTGCTGCTCCCGCAGCTCCCGCTGCTCCCGCACCAGGCGCAGAGCCCCCTGCTGCACCTGCCGCAGCGGGCTTACCCGCCTGCGTCGCTCCCGCGGGTTTGGCGCTAGCAACGGGCGCGGCCGCCGCTTTAGTCGCTGCCGCGGTTGGCGCGGCCGTAGCAGCCTGAGTCGTCGCGGGAGTCTTAACTGCTGGCGTCGCTGCTGCTGGCTTCGCCGCTGGGGCCGTCGCAGTCGAACCCGCCTTAGTCGCTGACGCGGCAGGAGTCGCTCCTGCTCCTCCCGCCGTTGCGGCTTTCGGTGCTGTGCTGGCTGCTGCTGCGACTGCCGGCTTCGCGGCCGATGAGGTAGTCGTTGCTCCTGCCGCCTTCGTCGCCTGAGCTGCCGTGCCTGGAGGCTTCGTCGCAACTGCTGTCGCAGGCGAGGGTTTCGTCACAGAAGCCGTCGCCGGAGCGGGCTTCGTCGCAGGAGTTGCCGCTGTTGATGCCTTCGCTGCAGCAGGTGCCGCCACAGTAGGCGCAGGCTTCGCAGCAGGTGCGGAAGCTCCCACCGGCGCTACTACTTTCCCCCCGACCGCGCCCGCTTTGCCTGCCGCATTCGACGGCGGAGTAGCTGGTCCGGGTTTCGGCGCTGCTGCGCTTGGCGCGGTCGCAGCCCCCGCGGCAGTCGATTTCGCCTCCGCGGGCTTGGCGGCAGCGGGCTGAGGCGCGGACGGTTCGCCCCGCTTGGGGCCCTCGGGATCGGCGGGCATGACGCAAGAGAATGAAGATCAACGGCTGAGAATCGCGAGAGAAAAAAAAAGACTAGGGATAAAGGAGACTCGAGCTGGGGTTCCACGTACGCGCAGCGCCGTGAACAACACGTCACGCAGAGCGAAAGAGAAAGAGACGCTGCTTTATAAGTCCGCGCACTCGGGCGACTGAACGGGAAGGCGTGGCTACAGGCTGCTTGAGAAGTATGGCCCAAATTGTCGAGAGGGAAAGACGGGAGAGAAACGGCAAGGGTCAGCATCTATCGCAGAGCATGAGTGCGAAAAGCTGCAGCTGCTGAGTTGCCGACGCCGTTGGGGCGCGACTGGGCGATAGAGACAGGTGCAGGAGGGAAGCGAGTGGGTGTGACAAGAAAGTGAGTGAGTGAATGAGTGAGTGAGTGAATGAGTGAGTGAGTGAATGAGTGAGTGAGTGAGAGGGTGGTGGAGCGCTGAGGCAGAAAGGGGTGAGTGGTGGCGGCGAGGCGGGGAAAATTCAAGTGCTCAAAAATACAAATCGAGATGAGGCTCGCGAAAAGGTCTTGTTGGCGAAAGAGGCACTCGCGAAGCGAACGACTCGCTGTAACGAGGGCTCACCAGCGAAGTTCGCGCTGACGAAGAGCTGGATCCCATATCTACAGTTGCACAACGGTATGAACTGTCAATTAGCGTGCTAAAACTAAAACTATGGAAGAGGTCATCTCCAACCACATGGCACTAGTATATTTCCTGACCCTTGATATGAGTGCGAAAATCCCCAGGGAATACTGCTAATTGTACAAAATTGGTGGCATGGCATGGCAAGACATGGTAGCTCTGACCATGGTGCTTCCTATGTTGGCAAGTTTCCAACCAACAAGCACACAATGCTCTAGATATAGTACAATATTTACTACAATGAAAGCCTCCTACCAATCGTTATTATCATACAAAGCACAGAGATTGCAAAAGCTGCATGAACTAAAGGACGCCACTGCGCAGATTTGCCGACTAGCAGAAGCCAAAAATATGGGCAAAATTGTCAAACATATATTTGTATGTTACTACAGGCTAGATAGGTGCGTACTCTTAGAGAGTACAAACCCTTAGCACAAAACCACCGTGTATCTCACATTCTAGTCCCTTCGCTACCGGTACTTTGATATGGTATCACGCTAGGCTAGCTAGGTCCTCCCTGCCCACCTGCGCTTCCACCCTAGCCCTAGACCTAGTTGCCCGTAGCTAGCCGTCCGCTGCTAGCCGCCCGCCACTAGCCGCCCGTACCTAGCTGCTCGTAGCCGCCCGTCGCCTAGCGCCCGCTGGCCCCGCGATCGCCAGCCCCGCACCTGCTGGCCCTGTGCTCGTCAGCCTCGTGCCTGCTAGCCCCATGCCCACCTACCCCGCGCATGCTGGCCCCGCATTTGCCAGCCCCGCGCCCGCCAGCCCAGCGCCCGTCGGCCCCACACTCGCCAGCCCCGCGCCCGCTGGCTCCGCACCTGCTGGTTCCGCACCCGCTCGCCCGCGCCCGCTGGCCCCGCTTTCACCAGCCCCACGCGTAAAAAACGGAGAACTTCATTGATTGAATGAGCAAAAGCATACATCCTTAAGTACCGAGCATCGGAGATGATGGGAAGGGATAAGGGAGAATTGGAGAAAATCCCAAGGAAATCCTCCCAGATCGGGGGGATTTGGGATGGATTGGGTTGGGATAGGTTGGGGATGAAAACAAAGCTTCACCAAACCTAACAAATATGCCTAACCCTAAAACCAACAAATTCCTAACACACAAAGTTGTGCCAACCGAATTGCAGCCTATCTCCAACACACCCCCTAGGCTGCAACGTCCGACGCCGTAGGGACGCCAAGTCCCATGGTACGAAGGAGATGATAGTGATCACGACGTCCAAGAGCCTTGGTGAACAAGTTGGCGAGGTTGCAGTCAGAGGAGATGTGTTTGACACACAAATGCCGTCGATGGACGAGCTCACGCATGAAGAAGTGTCGAAGTTCGATATGCTTGGTCCGTTGGTAAAAGACATGGTCTTTGGTAAGGTGTATGGTGCTCTCGTTGTCACATCACATAGCCGGGGTCTGCTGAGGATACCCGAGCTCAGCCAAGAGGTAGGTAAGCCATCGAGCTTCTTGGGATGCCATGGGGCCTGCGTAGAGCTCAGCTTCACAGGATGACAATGAGATGGATGATGAGTGTGTAGATCACCAGCTGATGACACCACTACCAAGGGTGAAGCAATAGCCTTGGGAGGAGCGGCGGTCAGCTTGATCATCAGCCCATGAGGAGTCGCTGTATCCTTCGAGGTGTGGAGAGGTCGTGCCACTGAGAGTGAGGACGTAGTCCTTGGTGGCTTGAAGGTAACGAAGGATGCGCTTAGCAGCCGACCAGTGGTGATTGGTGTGTCGACCGGCAGCAACGTAACACGAGAGCACACTGATGGGGTAGGCGAGGTCGGGCCTTGTGCACATCATCGCATACATGAGTGATCCGACGAGCTCGGGATATGCCTCATTACTGTATAAGGCTCAGGAGATGGAACTGATGGAGCAACCAGATCATGCAGCAGGGGAAGGGGAGTGGCCACTGGCTTGGCGTTGTCCATGGAAAAACGCTTGAGGACATTTTTCACATAGAACTCTTAGGAGAGAGTGATGGTGTAAGCTTCGCGATCCCTCGAGATTTCCATCCCAAGGTAGTTCTTGAGTTCGCCGAGGTCCGTCATGGCGTGAGCGTCCCCAAGTTCTTCCTTGACAGCTGCCAGCTGATCGTAGTCCTTGGAGACGAGAATCATATCGTCGACGTAGACGAGAATGAAGAATGGGTTCTCGTTCTTCCGAATGAAGAGACTCGGATCGGTGGAGGAAAGGTGGAAGTCGAGTGACTCGAGGGTTGCCTCCAGCTTCTTGTGCCATTCTTGAGGAGCCTGCTTCAACCTGTAGACAGGTTGATTTAGCTTCCAGACCGTGTCAGGTGGAAAGGGCAAGGGAAATCCTTGAGGAGGTTCCATGTAGATGTCCTCGGGGAGATCCCCTCAGAGAAATGCAGCAAAGATGTCCATGGAGTGGACGTCAAAGTTGCATCGAGCAACGATGTCCAGCTGGGTCCGTAGAGTGGGCAGTTTGGCTGTCGAAGAGAAGGTATTGAAGAAGTCCAGACCCTTTTTATGAGTGAAGCCTTTGCACAATATCGTGCCTTGAAGACAGGGAGTTCGCCAGGTAGCTGCTTGACGCAAAAAACCCATTTGCCATGGACAATGTTGACTCCTTGCGGAGGAGAGACGTCCGTGAAAGAGTTGTTACAAATGAATGCTTCACACTTTGCGATCATGACTGCAAGCCACTGAGAGGAGTGTGGTCCAGAGATGGCTTCATCGTATGAGTTCGGGGTCAGGATGGATGGATTTTCCAAGAATTTGAGAGTTGGAGCATCGGCAAGGTTGGGGAAGAGATAGCAGAGCTGACGGATGGCAGCATTGATCTCAATCAGCTCCTCATGCCTATCCTCCAAGAGGCCAAGCATGGATGCACCCCCGGCAGGAGGAGGCGGATTGAGGGAGATGCGAACCGAGAGGGCGAGAGGTGGAGCAGGACCATGAGAGCGGGTGCGGTGAGCAACAGGGACAGGAGAGGAGGGAAGAGGCGAGGGGGGGGGAGGTGGAATGTCGATATAAGAGCGTCCTTGGCGGCGGAGACGATAGGTGATGGGGGAATCGGGAGAAGAGGTGGAGGTTGGAGGCGGAAGCGGAGGTGAAGGTGGAGATGGAGGGGCAAGCGTAGGGGGAGGTGCAGAAGGAGAGGGAGGGGGAAGGGCAGCGGCAGGAGCAGGTGCAGGTGCAGGCGGAGGTGAAGGGGCAGCGGAACTGGTGGGGGAAGGGGGGTGAGAGAGAGTGGAAGGAGATGGAGGAGGTGAGAGTGAGGGGGCTGCAGGAGCAGCGGCAAAGGGAAGAGGTGGAGAGGGTGAAGTTTCGAAATCGGCCCACACAAGCGAAGGTGGAGCGGTGGTGGGTGGTGAGGAGAGGTAAAAAGGGCGACTCTCGTCAAATGCGACATCGCGGCTGCGAATGAGCTGATTGGTGGAGGGATTGAGAAAGAGGTAGCCGAGAGAGTCCAGGTTGTGGCCGAGGTAGACACATGGTTGAGTTTTGGGTGCAAATTTGCCGCCATGGGTGTGATGCTCTTGAGGGTTGAGGAGGACATAAGTGATATACCCCCATATGCGGAGAGGACGTGCACTTGGCTTAGTGCCGGACCACAGTTTGGCGGGAGTGATGGTAGGCCGAAGAGGGTGAGGGTGAAGGTTGTACAGTAGTGTGGCATGGAGGAGGGCATAACTCCAAAGGGAAGGTGGAGCACCAGCGTGAGTGAAAAGACAGCGGGCAATTTGCACGAGGGTGCGATTGCGACTTTCGGCAATGCCATTCTGCTGCGGATTGTAGGGAAGGTTGAAGGTATGGCGAATGCCTTGGGAGGCACAGAATGTTTCAATGGAATGATTTCGAAATTCGCCACCGCCATCAGAATGGAGGCACTTGACTGATGTGCGGAAATGATTTTTGGCTTGTCAAACCCATGCGATGATGACACCCGGAACATCTGCTTTGGAGGAGAGTAGGTGGACGGACGCATAGCGGGAGTGATCGTCAACAAGCACTAGGAAGTAAGATTGCCCGCCACGAGAGTGTACTGGAGCCGGGCCCCAGACTTCCATGTGGATGAGGTCAAGTGGGGCGGCTGCAGCAGAGGGCGAGGAAGGGTGAGGTAGCTGGCGCTGTTTGCTTTGCACGCAATCCAAGCATGGAGGAGCGGGAGAAGTGGAGGGTGGAGGAAGTGTCTCAGGCAGGTGGAGGAAGTGTCTCAGGCAGGTGGAGGAAGTGTCTCAGGCAGGTGAAGAAGCAACTTTTTGGACGCAAGCTCGGAAAGCATGCGGAAGTTGGGATGCCCAAGACGGTGGTGGTAAAGAATGGTTGGGTTGGTGAGCTGACGGCAGGAGCACGATGAGGTGGTGGAGGTAGAGTGTGCCTCAGTGGGAGATGGAGGTACTTGGAGTGTGTAGAGGTTCTTGGCCATTAGTGTGAAGCATAGAAGGAGGGTATTTGTGGTGGGTTCAGGGAGATCGCAGTGACTCGACTGAGCAAGAAAGACGGTGGTGACTCCTACTCGTTGAATTTCATGATGTGCGAGTAGATTGTGCCGAAGAGTGGGCACGCATATGCCAGTGACTGAGCCTGATGGGAAGGCTGGGCATGGAAGAGTGGAAGAACCATGGGCAACAGT